ATCTTCCATGGATTTGGGGCTACTTCTGTTACTGGCTTCTACCATAATTTCATTGTGGTTAGAGATATAACTATAGTGATTCAATCTACTGAAATTTATTTCATGATTTACAAATGACGTATCTTGTTGAATAGAGCTTAGATGCTGGGAAAAAAAAAGATGCTTGTTTTGATGCTGTTGGGTATTTTATAAATATAAGTTGCAATAAGGTGACTGCATTATTCTTCAGTATTCTCCGACAGTTGGCCTACTTGTATCAAATAGTGAGAAAGGAATGTTGGAATCTCCAACTTTAATTGTCACTATATCTGTTTCTATTTTGTCAGATTTTGTGTATTTTAAAGATTGATTATTAGGAGTATATATATTTAGAATTTTCATGTTTTCTTTTTTTAATATTTTATTATTTTCATTTTATGTGTATGAGTGCATTGCCTGCATGTATATGAGTGCACCATGTGGGTTTAGTGATAGTGAAGGCCAGAGGTGGACCCAGATGCCCTGGAACTGGAGTTATGGATGGTAGCTGCCATGAGGGTGCTGGGAACTGAACCTGGGTCCTCTGGGAGAACAGCCAGTCCTCTGACTTCTGAGCCCTCTCTACAACCCCAACTCCAGCCTTCTTATGATCAGAGTTATTATGGATATAGTTTACTATTCTTTTTTTTAAAAACAGATCTGTCTTCAAATTTAAAGCATATTACCTGATCTTCTTTATCAGTTTATCTTAGCCTTCAAATTGAAAAGCTAGAAAAATCTTCAATCAATGCAATTAATAAGACAGTTTTGTTTTCCTGAATTCTTCAGGAAAGTGTAATTTCTCCTTTTCTTCTTCATGCCTTTCTTACTACACATGCTTTTTTTTCTTTTCTTTTCTTTTTTTTTTTTTTTTTTTTCGGTTTTTTTGAGATGTCTCCCTGTAGCCCCAGCTGTCCTGAAACTCACTATGTAGACCAGGCTGGCCTTGAACTCATAGAAATCCGCCTGCCTCTGCCTCCCGAGTGCTGGGATTAAAGGCGTGCGCCACCATGAAGGCTTCGGGCTGCCCCTAGCATCTTGCATTTCTTCACTTTTTCTCTAAAGATTCCTTCTCCCCGCCATGTGGCTGTGAGTCAGGCTCGTGTCTGACCTCCACGTAGGCTCTAAACCTGCATGGCTTCCATGGCTTGCTTTCCTTCTTCCCACCATTCACCTCCTCAAGGTAGCTGCCAAGATTACCAGCTCATCTGCCCTGAGAATTTTTCTTTTAAGATTCTAATCAAATTGTAGAGCCAGGCTTGGTGGCACACACCTTTAATCCCAGCACTTGGAAGGCAGAGGCAGGTGGATCTCAGTGAGTTCAAGGCCAGCCTGGTCTACATAGTGAGATCCAGGACAGCTGGGGCTACAGGGAGACCCTGTCTCAAAAAGACCAAAAGGAAAAAAAAAAATGATTCTAATAAAATTGTAAAATCTTAAAAAAAAAAATAGTTTGGTTTTGAATCTACCATCCTGATATTTTCTGTTTTCCTCATCTGTGTTTTTCTTTTTAACATTTACTATTTCTTGTGTATGTGTGCATGGGCATGTGGGGAGGGCATATTGTCAGAGGACAACTTACAGGAGCTGGTTCTCTCCTGCCATGTGGGTCCTAGAGATTAAATTCAGATTGTAAATCAGGTTTGGCAGCAAGCCCCTTTACCTGCTGTGGTCCATACTTTTCTCTCTTCCCTCTTTTCCTGTTTTGAATTGAGTCATTTATTCCCCCTTATCTCTTGTACTGGTTTATTAGCTAAACTTGTTTGTTTAAAAATATGACTTTTATTTAAAATATGACTCTAATTTATCAGTCTGTCTTCAAATACTGTACCACTTCATTTTCGGTGTGTAAACCTTTCAACTGTCTTTCCGCTTACCTCTTTTGTCCAGTATATAAACAAACAACCATTGTTTTTATTGTGCTTTAAGTAGTGAAATATTAAAACTTTTCTTAGCTTTAGTCTTAAGAAAAGGTATAGTGAAACATGGTTGGGTGAGGAACAATCTCTTATTAACCTACATGCTTACTGTTTCTGGAGCTTTTTTCTTTGTGTTACTCTAAGTTTCTGTTGAGCATCACCTTCCCACTCTCATCCCTACAAGTTCTAACTGTATACATAGCGTAGTTCTGATGCTGATGAAGTCTTTTAAAGTACATTTCAGCTAAGCACAGAAGGAGGAAAAGACTTCTGGCTTTCCCCTACTTTAAAAAAGTTATTGGTATATTGTCATCTAGCTCCCGATGAGAAGCCAGAGTTCTTATCTCTGTACTTTTGAGGCCACGTTAGCCTGGAACTTGCTATGATAGCCAAGGCTGGCCTTGGACTCTTGTTCTTCCTACTTGACTGAGCCTCCATAGTGCTGGGATTACAGGTGTGGGCCACCAAGCCCAGCTGCTAACTGTTTTAAGATAATTTTTTGTCGACTGGAGAGGTGGCTCAGCAGTTAGGAGCACTGGCTGCTCTTGCAGAGGACCCAGGTTTGGATTCCAGAACCCACATGGGAGTGGGTTATCAACTGCCTGTGACTCTAATTTCAGGTAATCTGACACCCTCTTTTGGCCTCTGTAGACACTGTATTCATGGGTGCATTTACATACATGCAGGCAAAACACTTATACACATAAAAACATAGTGTGTGCACTCCTGCCACAGTGCGTGTTTAGCGGTCTGAGGACAACCTATGGGAGTTGGTTCCCTTCTTCCACCACGTGGGTCCCAGGGATCGAACTCAGATTGTCAGGCTCAGCAGCAAGTGCCCTTACAGGATGAAGCATTTCACCAGTCCCCTATTTTTTTGTTCTTGTTTTAAAGATGAGGAAACTGAAGCCAAGATTAAGTTACTTGGCCTAAAATCAATGGCCAGTAAGTGGTGGAGCCAAGATTTGGACCTAAGTAATTTGGCTGTAAAAATTTCGCTTTTGATTATTTGTGACAACTCTTGATACAAAGTTATCCTTAGGTTAGTATATTTGCAGATTCAAATTATTACATGTAACTTCAGTTTATCATGAAGAGATCTTGAGAGATTAATTCTGGTAACTAATGTAAATGTGAAGAATCCAACAAGGCCCATTTTAGGATCACACAAAAAGTGAAAGGAAAATGTGGGTCAGTTATTAAGCAGTGGTAATGGTTACTTTCAAGCTCAAGCCTCCCTCCATTCTACCTTCCCTTTATTAACATGTTCCCTAAGTGGTGCACATTTGTAGTTCCAGCTACTTGGGAGGCTAAGGTGGGAAGGTCACTTGAGCACATGAGTTTGAGAATATCCTGGTAGCAGAATGAGACCCCGTCTCAAAATAATATCCAAATAACGGCATCTCGGGAAATACTCAAGAGACCACTCTATATTAATTAGATATTTTTGGTATTTTATAATATGCAAATAAAAACAATTTCTCCTTGCTAAAAATGTAAGCACTTAAGTACGCACAATAGAGGCAGGCAGATCTCTGGGAGTTCAAGGCCAGCCTGGTCTACATAGTGAGTTCCAGGACAGCTGGGGCTACAGGGAGACCCTGTCTCAAAAAGACCAAAAAAAAAAAAAAAAAAAAAAGCCACTTTTTACTCATCAGTACCTTCCCTTTCCTGAGTACAAGGCTGCCCTGTTTAAAGTGATTTGACTTCTTCTGTATTGCATCTGTAAACACATGAGCATATGTGCAAGTTTACATAACAAATGTAATCACTAATATGAATTGTTCCACACTGCCTTGTTTCTGTTTTCATGTCATTTTAGATCTATTTCATTTCATTGCTCTCTCTAGGAATTCACAATGTGGATGCCTTAAGTTTTATATTTTTTAATGATACTGTTTCGTATCCGTACTTATTAAAATCCAGACGGCAGTACTGAAGAGATGGCTTACCGGTTAAGAACACTGGCTGTTCTTGCAGAAGACCCAGGTTCGAATCTTAGCACCCACATGGCAGCTAACAACTGTGTGTAACTCCAGTTCCAGGGGATCCAACACCCCTTCTCTCCTCCGCTGGCTTTGCACAACAGGGGTGCACTTACCTACATGCAGGCAATACACACATACACATAAAAAAGTAAATAAAACATTAAAAAAAATCTGCACGGCAATAAATCTGTGTTAACTTTACTATAGCTGGAGAACTCAGGGTAACACAATTCCCATCCCACCTTCTTAAAAGCAAAGGAGGGCAGGGTGTGGTGGTGCTTGCCTGTAATCCCAGCACTCGGAAGGCAGAGGCAGGCAGATCTCTGTGAGTTCAAGGCCAGCCTGGTCTACATAGTGAGTTCCAGGACAAATGGAGCTACAGGGACACCCTGTCTCAAAAAGACCAAAAAAAAAGCAAAGGAGGGAGAACAGTATTTGCAAAGTCTGTCAAATACTGAAATTCCCTTTGCGAATGTCTGTCACTCCTAAAACAGAGATCTCTTCTTTTTTTAAAAGATTTTAATTTATTCATATTTTAATTTATTTATTAATTCATTTTTATTTAACTTAAAAAAATTTGAGAACTTCATACATGCATATAAGGTGTTTTGATCAAATCCACGCCCACTCCCTCCCCTCCAACTCCTCCCATGTCTCCCCATCACTTTTTTCTGACTAGAGGTCTCAAAAAACAATTGGCACCGGACGTGCAGGAGAACGCCAGAACCACAATGGTAGAAACAGAGAAGGAGCTGGTGAGATTAGCATCTTGGATTAGAGGTCAGAGCAGCGTCCTCCTGGAGGACCAAACCTTCCTGTTGAGCTCACTACTTCCGCCCTTTTCAGGACAGACTGATGGAGTAAAACAGCCTGGATGCACCCTGGAGAAAGTGAAGGCGCCCATGTGACCTGAGGACAGTAGAGAACAGCCAGACCGGAGCAATGATGCGGGACGCTGACAGCAAGCAACCACGGCGGCCATGCTGGGCGCTGGCCGAGGACTCGTTATCCCAGCAGCCCCCGCGGGCCGCAGGACCCGGAGTCCACTGGCTCTGGCGCGCGGGGGCGGGGCCGGGACCGGAAGTCACGTGCCGCGACAGTCGCTGGGGTGAGGCGGGTGTCGCAACTCCGGCTGCTGGGGGCTGTGACTGTGGGAGGCGCAGCGGCCATGGCGGTGGAGACTCTATCGCCGGACTGGGAGTTCGACCGCTTGGACGACGGCTCTCAGAGTAAGCGGGTGTGGGACGAGGCCTGGGCGGCGCTGAGGCCGCCGCGGGGCGGGCGCTGCGTAGCTGCGGGTCCGGGACATCTTGCTCCGGCCGGGGTGGGACTGGGCGACCGCGGCACTGCGTGGCCAGCGGGGTCGCGCCTGGCCTGGCGGGCGCCGCGCCGTCCCTCCCGCTGGCCGCGGTCGCGGGTCAGCGGCGCCCACTTTCTTGGCGCCCGGAGAGGTCGGCCGCCCCAGGGAGCACAGCTCGCACCCGGCCCCCTCTGGCCAGATGCTCAGAGCCTTGGGTTCTAGAAGACTGGGTTCCTCTTTCGGTTTCCTGTTTTCTTCTTTGCTTCTCAAACCAACTTTTTGGAAGTTTGGGTTTCCGTTCTTAGAATCGCAGAAAATAGGGAGAAAACAGCTCTTTGTGACAGTAAAGAAGCAAAAACAAGTACAGGTGAATATCATTTCTTACCTGCCCTTTATTGATTTTTTTTTTCCCCAGGGTTGTCCTATAGTCATCGCAGTTAAGAAGGTTTTTGTGTGTGTTTTGTAAATACATCGAATCGGTTTCACATTTGTATCGTAAAATCGAATCGTCCGATTTTTTTTTTTCTGAGAAGCCCAACCCTGCACAAATTATGTTTCAGCAAAATGTACAGGCCAAACTAATTATCGTAGTGAAACTGCTTCAGATTGATACACAGCGCAGAGACCCTGAAACATCTACAAATTTACGTATAGTTAGATTTACCTCTACATCCAGTGAAGCCATGATCAGGGTGCTGTGCAATTTTTCAGAACATGTTTCTTAAGGTATCAGCTCTTAGGCAGCGTAAAGAAAAATCTTGATTGAAGACAGAAGTGTTTTTCCTATTATAAAGTGAATTGCATCTTGTGTACTTTTTGTTGCTTGTTTATTCATGAGCAAAGGTTCCGACTTTGATGTCTGACAGAAGTTGAAAGGAAGGTATGACATTGGCTTTGAGAGTGGTTCAGCTTGAAGTAGAATGATCAGGTAGTTTATTTACTCAGTAGATGTTTTTCCCAAAAACAAGAGGGGCGGGGAGGACATGACTGACTGCAGGAAAGAAGGGAACCAGCCATGGGGGACAGGCCACTGGTGAGGGCAGGGGCTTCAAGATGAGTTAGAACACAGTGTACTGGTTATATATGAAAATGCCAGATGAAAACCATTAATAAGAACAGTAAGCTGAGGAGTGCAGTGTGTTGGATGAGAGAAGCAAATTATACAAGACAAGCTCTTAGATAAAATCTTTAACTTTTACCAGTTGCCTATTATCTTATTGGCAAGGAACTTGTTGCAGGCTTTCAGTTGTCTTCTACCTCATGACTCCCCATAGTAATCAGGTGATTTATTGGCATGTTTTTCTAGTACTGTCTTTAAGAACTCATTTGCTGGTCAAATGAAGCTTTGACAGGTCATTTCTCATGTCAGATAAGACATCACTGTGCTCTTCTGAGAAACTTAGGCAGTTTTTTATGTTAGCTGTGGGGAAGAAATTTCTTTGTGCCTGGTTTTCATTAATTTTTGGACTGTGAATCATAGCTAGACTAATTATTTTCCCAAAATTACCTGAAGTAATGCTATAATGAGATAGGAGTCTTGAACTAAATTGATTAACCTGATGGCAGAGCATTAGTTTCAAAGTAATGGAGAAAAGGAAGGTAGGTCTTTATAGTTTGCAGCTTGAGTCAGAACATAAGAGCTGCCTCACATTGCAAATTTGGAGAAAGAAGTTTTCTTTTTTTAGAAGACAAAGATTGAATAAAGTTATACCTGTCAAGAGAAACTGAATTGGAGTTGAAGTTTTGGGAATAAGCAATGAATAAGTGATAGGGTCTTTCTGTAGCCCCAGATGGCCTAGAACTTGCAACGTAGACCAGGCTGACCTCTCACAGAGATCCACCTGCCTCTGCCTCTGCCTCCCAAATGCTGGGATTAAAGATGTGTGCCACCACACCTGGCTAAGTAACGAATTCTTAGGTAGAAGATGGAATGTTAAAATTTTTTTTTTTTTTTTTTGGTCTTTTTGAGACAGGATCTCCCTGTAGCCTCAGCTGGCCTGGAACTCACTTTTTTAACCAGGGGGGCCTTTAACTCAAAGAGATCTGCCTGCCTCTGCCTCTGCCTCCAGAGTGCTGGGACTAAAGGCATGCACCACCATGCCCAGCAGAATGTAATTTTTATTAGTTTTGATGTATAGGCATTTAAAAAAATTCAGCTTATTCCAGGGACAATAAGCTTCAAGTCATCTAGTAATATGTAAATTCTGTAAATCTCAGGACAGTATTCTGCTAATGTGTTTTATCTGACTTTCCCAACTTGATTGTAATACTTAAATAATTAAAGCATTTTGGTATACTGAGTCATACAGGAATAATATATTATTGTAGGTCTAAAACCTCCATCTACACACCAAATAAGAGTGTTTTTAACCCTTTTACTATGTATGGGATTAACATTTTAAAGTTTGCTCAGTAATAGCACAGATTTTTGTACCTACTTCATGTCAGACTTGATGTTTTGCAACAGAGTTGTGTATGATTAAAATATAGCAAAGTATTAGGACATTGAGTTGTCTGAGGCATGACTTAGACTGTGAGAAACCACCCCAAGCTAAGTGGGCTATAGCTTTTCAAATGGTTTTACTTATTTGGAGAAAATTCAAATTGCTGTTTAACTTGGAAACTTTTTTTTCAGGCATTCCAAAGTAATAATTAACAGTGTTTTGCTGCAACTTTGAGATTACTTGTAGTGCTCTGCTGTTATTTACTTGTAACTTTCTGTTTCAAACATTAAATTTAGAAATCCATGCTGAAGTCCAACTTAAGAATTATGGGAAATTTCTTGATGAGTATACATCTCAATTGAGAAGAATTGAGGATGCACTGGATGATTCAATTGGAGATGTTTGGGATTTCAATCTTGATCCTATAGCATTAAAGGTTTGAATTTTTTTTTAAAACTTATCTGTATGTATTTTAGGACATACTACCTCTTGTAAATACCACTTTTTGAAAATTTTACGTGAATGTGTGTATTACCTGCATATATGTAAGTGCACCTGTGTCGTGCAATGCCTGTGGAAGTCAGAAGAGGGCCTGGAATCAGATGCCCTGGAACTAGAGTTAACAGACAGTTAGCTGCCATGTGGGTGCTGGGATTTGAACCCAAGTCTTCTGCAAGAAGAGCTAGTGTTCTTAACTGCTGAGCCATCTCTCCAACCCTGTGCATACCATTTTTAAAAGTAGAAAATGTATACATCTTTTTTTTTGTTTGGTTTTTTTTTTGGTCTTTTTCAGACAGGGTCTCCCTGTAGTCCCAGCTGGGCTGGAACTCACTGTGTAGACCAGGCTGGCCTTGAACGCACAGAGATCCGCCTGCCTCTGCCTTCTGAGTGCTGGGACTAAAGGCATGTGCCACCATACCAAGCTGAAAATACATATATATATATTTTTTTAATTTTTTGTGTATTATTTTTATTTTATGTGTATGAGTGTATTGCCTGCATGTATGTGAGTGCACCCCTGTTGTGCAGTGCCTGCGGAGGTCAGAAGAGGGCTTCGGATTCCCCTGGAACTGGAGTTAAGGACAGTTCGTAGCTGCCATGTGGGTGCTGGGAATCGAACTTGGTCCTCTGCAAGAGTAGTCAGTGCTCTTAACTGCTGAGCCATCTCTCCAGACCCTGAAAATACATAAATCTTAAAAGTGAAAAGAATTGTTAATTCCCCCCTCTGAGCCGCAGAGTAGTTTTTTAAATTTGCTTTTTAAAAGTATGATAAAAACGTAAAACGTCATGACACAGACAACTGTTTGATCTAGTGTTTTATTTTTTATCAGTAAGGAAATGCAGAGCACTAGATGGAACACGCTGGCTTTATTTTTATTTTTTTTAATTGAGGTTATTTTATATAGAGTCAAATATACAGATTTTTAAAGTTACTATTCATTGAATTTTGCTGAACTCAAGCCCATCTAATTCATATTTATATCTAATCAAGATATAAAACACTTCTGTCATTTCTAAAAAGTTCCTTTGCATGATATTGAGGATCATAATGTGGAAGTGATTTTTTTTTTCTTTCTTTTGTTATTATTATTTTTTTGAAATGGTCTGTTATTTTGAAATGTAGCCCTAGCTGGTCTGGAACTTGCTATGTAGATCAGGCTGGCCTCGGACTCACAGAGGTCCTCCTCCCTCTGCCTCCCAAGTGCTAGGATTAAAGGCTTGCGCCACCATGATTGGAAAATGTTCTGTTTTTCAGTAACTTAATTTGACCCCTTTTTTGGTGGTGGTGGTTCTTTTTGATACAGGGGCTCCCTGTAGCCCCAGCTGGCCTGGAACTCACTATGTAGACCAGGCTGGCCTTGAACTCAGAGAGATCTGCCTGCCTCTGCCTCCTGAGTGCTGGGACTAAAGGCGTGTGCCACCATGCCCGGCTTTAATTTGACCCTTTTAGCTACAGTACCATACTAAATTTATACCTACATAATGATTTCCAAAATGATGAGTGGTCTTTTCACATGTTGAGAATTATAGAGCTTGACAATCCTAGTTATTTTCTTACCTTGTATTTTCTTTCTCTGCGTTCACAGCCACCTACTGTCCTAGAGTGCAGCTTGAGTACAAGGCAGTGGTGTTGAGGCCAGTTCTTGAGTTCCTTTGGTGTCTGTTGAGATTGTCGTAAAGAGAATAGTTGGTTTGATACTAATGCTGAATTTAGGACTGAACACAAGTTTAAGTGTAATTCATTTAATTTCACTTAATGTATTGAAAATTTCAGTGATTTTTACAAATTAAGAGGAGATGTTCTTTTCTTCTGTGTCTGTAGCTTCTGCCATATGAGCAGTCTTCCCTGTTGGAACTCATAAAGACTGAAAACAAGGTACAGAACCCTAGACCCAAAGTGCATTCAAACAGTGGTTTCCTTTCTGTTATGGTTAACTTTTTTTTTCTGTTTTATTTTTCATTCATGACCCTAGGTCTTAAACAAAGTCATCACTGTTTATGCTGCACTTTGTTGTGAGATCAAGAAATTAAAATATGAGGTAATTATTTCTGTTCTTTAGTTTTCAAGCATCATTTAAAAGCAAGTGTAGGCTTATATATTGTAGAGTGTGCAGTAAACACTGAACACTGAACGACACCCTTATAATAGTAGTGCCACTAGTGACACCAGTAGCAGGGAGAACTTGCAGTAATGCTGGTGTTCATTAAGTTCTTACTCTGTGCCAAGCACCGTCCTTACACTTACTCCTTAGAACAACTCAGAGAGGTAGGTGAGGAAGATAAAGAAACTGGAGCTTAAAGAGGGTGTCAGCAATAGTGACAGTTTGAATCTAGGTCTTCATGTGCTGACACCTGCTGTATGTACCAGCTAGCCAGAAAAGCTGTTTTTTTTTTTTTTTTTAATTTGAACCTTTTATATGGATTTAGTGTCATTAAACTTTGGTAGAAATCAGTGAACTTCATCTTTTCTTCTTTTCTTTACATCCTGATGGGCAGCTGGTGGGACGAGGTATGATGAAATAAGACAGTAAAGGCTGAAGGCACCAGGGCACATAGCTTTTAGTGCCAGTAATTATCTTTTGTTACTCTAAAGATAAACTGCATTTATTTGAAGCAGCTTTTGGAATTTAAATGTGTATGTCAGTGATGTAGTGCTAGGCTACCAGAGAGTTAAAAGAGCCTAGGAATTTCAAAGCAATCTTTGAAATTATTATTATTTTTTTAAACAGGCTGAAACTAAGTTTTACAATGGTCTTTTGTTTTATGGAGAAGGAGGTAAGTATTACAATTTTAAAATTGGTATGTGGCAATAACCTTTTATGAAATTGAAATGAGCAAAAAACTTTAACAGTTTTAGAACTAATATGATTGTATATTAATGAGAAAAATAAGCATTCAAATTATTTGTTGGCTTTCTTTTGACTAAATAAAAACTGAGTGGTAGGGGCTGGAGAGATGGCTCAGCGGTTAAGAGCACTGACTGCTCTTACAGAGGACCTGGGCTTGATTCCCAGCACCCACATGGCAGGCTATGAACCGTTCTTAACTCCAGTTCCAGGGGAATCCGAAGCCCTTTTCTGACATCCGCGGCATGGCATGACACGGGTGCACTCACATACATGCAGGCAATACACTCTACACATAAAATAAAAATAATAAAAAACAAAAAAACACCTGAGTGGTGAAGCAGCAGTGTGAAAGTGCTGAATGGTAGTTCTTAAGTCCCAGTGCTGGGGTTAGAGCAGAGCTTTCCTTGAGTCCATTAGGTAGTGAAGCAGAGAGCGTAATCCATTGTGTCACTAATGATTATGTCATTTCTCAGTGTAGAAATTCCATTTCAGTACGGTGCAAATTAGAAGATGCCCTCAGGAAAAAAGATGACTGTTTTTGGTTTTTGTTGTTTAAGTTTAAAAAATTGAGTAAAGGGGCTGGAGAGATGGCTCAGCAATTAAGAGCAGTGACTGCTCTTGGCAGAGGACCCAGCACCCACGTGGCAGCTAACAACTGTCTATAACTCCAGTTCCAGGGCATCTAACAATCTGCAACTCCAGTTCCAGGGGATCTGATGCCCTCTTCTGACCTTTGTGGGCACAACACGGGTGCACTTACATGCGTGCAGGCTTACATACTTTCATACACATAAAATAAAAGTAATTTTTTTAAAGTAAAAAAAAAAAAAATCGAATAAAAATGTTGATGTTGCTTTTTAAAGCTACAGACTCCAGCATGGTGGAAGGCGATTGCCAAGTTCAAATGGGGAGATTGATTTCATTTTTACAGGTAATTGACTTTTCCTTTCTCTTAAGCCTTTCTTTTAGAAGTTTTCATAAATTACACATAATTTTAAAAGTTCTTTTTTTAAAAAATATTTTATTTATTTGTATTTTATGTGTATGAGTGTGTTGCCTGCATGTATGTGAGTGCACCTGTGTTGTGCAATGCACAACAGAAGATGGCTTCGGATTCTCCTGGAACTGGAGTTAAGGACAGTTCGTAGCTGCCATGTGGGTGCTGGGAATTGAACCCCGGTTCTCTGCAAGAGGAATCAGTGCTCTTAACCACTGAGCCATCTCTCCAGACCCTGAAAATACATAAATCTTAAAAGTGAAAAGAAACTTGGAGAGAATTGTTAATTCCCCCCTCTGAGCCACAGAGTTGCTTTTTAAATTTGCTTTTTGAAAGTATAATAAAAACGTAAAACATCATGACACAGACAACTGTTTGATCTAGTGTTTATTTTTTATCAGTAAGGAAATGCAGAGTACTAGATGGAACACACTGGCTTAATTTTTTTTTTAATTGAAGTTATTTTATATACAGTCAAATATACAGATTTTTTTAAAGTTACTCTTCATTGAATTTTCCTGAACTCATAGCCCATCTAATTCATAATCATATGTAATCAAGATATAAAACCTTTCTGCCTTTTCTAAAAAGTTCCTTTGCATGATACTGAGGATCATAATGTGGAAGTGATTGTTTTCTTTCTTTTGTTATTATTATTAATTTTTTTTTGAAATGGTCTCTTATTTTGAAATGTAGCCCCAGCTGGCCTGGAACTTGCTATGTAGATTAGGCTGGCCTTGGACTCACAGAGGTCCTCCTCCCTCTGCCTCCCAAGTGCTAGGATTAAAGGCTTGCGCCACCATGATTGGAAAATGTTCTGTTTTTCAGTAACTTAATTTGACCCCTTTTTTGGTGGTGGTGGTTCTTTTTGATACAGGGGCTCCCTGTAGCCCCAGCTGGCCTGGAACTCACTATGTAGACCAGGCTGGCCTTGAACTCAGAGAGAGCTGCTTGCCTCTGCCTCCTGAGTGCTGGGACTAAAGGCGTGTGCTGCCATGCCCGGCTTTAATTTGACCCTTTTAGCTACCGTACCTTACTAAATTTATACCTACATAATGATTTCCAAAATGATAAATGGTCTTTTCCCATTTTAAAGTTCTGAAACCTTTAAATGCTAAGGACTATATACTCAGAGGATAAAACACTTATTTAACATGTGTTTAGACTTTAGGAGATCATAATTCCTGAACAATCTGAAACCTTTTAAACACTAAATACCAGCAATGAAAAAGTCTATAGTCTATATTAATAGCGCATAAATTATCTATACGCTGTGTAAAATCTGTTTGAGAGCCTGGCATAGTAGTGCATACCTATAATTCCAGCACTCAGGAGGCAGGAGCAGGCAGATCTCTGTGAGATTGAGGCCAGCGTGGTTTACATAATGAGTTCCAGGCCAGCCAGGGCAATACAGTGAGAACCTGACTCAAAAAAAAAAAAGTTTCATATATGAAACATTAATGAATTTGGACTTCTTCCCATTATACAGTTAAGATATCTCTTGGTATACGCAAATTCCCCAATCCAGAAAAATCTGAAGTATATCTGTTCCTAAGTGTATGATAAGTATTCAACCTGTTTGACAATGCCATTAATGTCCGTTTTGTCTGATAGTAATGTGGCTGTGTGGCTGCTTTGTTGCTGTTGACTGTTTTGATTTATCTTTTTCATTCCTTCAAGATTTTGTTGCATTTCTTTAAAGCTGCACATGTACTATATAACAGTGTTTGGTCAACAGTGGACTCTATGTAGCAAAAACTTATACTAAAAAAATTATTTTTATTTCCAAAAGTATAAATTGTATGCATATATCACTAATAACTGTGAAAGTTTCATTTTTCATCATCAAGCAAATATGTCTTGTGAGCCTAGTGTGTTAGAAACTGCTCTTGGTGCTGGGGCTGTACTGGTACATAAAAGCTATAGAAATTCTTGTTCTCATAGAGCTTAAAATTTAGAATGCTATAGGTTTAATCAGGTTTTAAATATTTTAGATGCAAACTGTTTAAGCTCTAAAAGGAAGTTTTCAGAAGATCAGGGACATATTAGATCTCAATTAATTATTACTGATAAATGTCCCTGGGACAAATGATTTTGTACTGTGTGCCAAGTCTGTTTATAGATGTGATTAAAGATAAAAAAGGAAGTGATTTCACTGTGGCTTATAGAAATTGTTTTCTCTCATTGTTCACTTCCTAAACTAACAGTCAACCCTTTTCATTCACTTGGATGCTCATTCATTTTACTCCTTTAATCAGACAAATTCCTTGACAAGTCACTGTTAGCTACTGTGCTAGGCAATGGGTAGTCAAGGAAGGAGTGAGTTAGTCCCTGCCATGCAGGATCTGTGTGAGTGACTGAAGCATGACTTAAGATGGTGTGTGAAATTCGAGGGAATTAGAGGTAGCATGGCTTGCAGCAAGCTGAGTGAGAGAGGCATTGATTGCTTGAGGGCCACTTAAGTCTGGCTGCTGAAAACTGGAGATTTTACTGGAAAACTTTCTTTTTTTTATATATATAAAATTTAGCCAAAAGCAACCTGGTAATGTGTTCTCACCTTGTGTTTCAGGAGCTCTCCTGTTTTGTCACAAGGTGCTATGAAGTGGTGATGAATGTCGTCCACCAGCTGGCTGCCCTCTATATCAGTAACAAGTAATGGAGTCTAGAAATATTCTTGCTTTTATGAAATAGAGATGCAGGAAGTACTTTTAAAAAACTAATGATTTGAAATAGTTTTTTGTTCAATTATTCATTCAGCATTCTTTGAATACTCAGGATGTTTGGCTACTACTTGAGGTGTATATTTCTTTTAACTTGTATATTTCATAGGTTAGTTAGATGCAGTTTCCATCATACACATGAACCCATCTGTGTGAATGCTGGCAGAAATCTTTAAAGAAGTTTGACTATATAGAAAAAGGTGATAGGGAATTAGTTCACATGCAGTATTTTGTCTTTGTGTGTGTGTGTGTGTGTGTGTGTGTGTACATTAATTATTCTCTGTCCAACAAAATCACATAATGACTTTTCTTAAAATATACAATCTTGAGGGTTGAGCTAGTATGGCAGTCTACACTGAAAAAAAAAAAAAAGTAGTTTTCATGATCTTCTAGGTTTAGGGATTGTCATAGAGCCTTTGCCTGTCCTTATCGCCATAAAGTCTCTACTTTGATGGATTCTTCGTAGTTAATTTCCTTGCACCTGCGCTGTAACGCTGAGTGTGTGGCTAACACTCTTAATGAGAAGCAGTAACAAGTCCAGAGGCATCATTTGCCAAGACTCACAGAAGCTTGGGCAGTATTCTTTTGGGTCCTCAGTCCATTCATTGTTCTTAGTGCACCAGGCTATGTCCTAGCCTTTATAAATGGCTGGATTGTATTTGTGATTGCACATTCTCATGTATTTATCATTTTGGTGTTTAAATATGTTCTGGCTCTTCACAAAAGTTGTCCTTGTGGGAGGAGAGAGAGGGAGGGAGCTTTACCAGCCCCACTCTGCCTGCTGTGTAATTCTAAGGAGTCTCTTCCTCAGCCCTGCCATAGAAAGATAAAGTGATTTGCTTTTCAATTCAATTTTGAAATACTCATTCTAGGTCTTACAGAATGTGTGTATGTGTTTGTATATATATTTATACATGCATAATTTATAGTTTGACATATAAGTACTATACTATTGAGTAAATTGAATAGGAAGTAAAATTGAACTTTCTGTGACTTTTCACTTGGATGTAATTCTAGAAGTATGTGTTATTTTTCAGTAGCAATGAGAACTTAAAAACGAGGCTGACTAGAGAGGGCTTTTTCCCAAATGCCAGTTTGGGGAGGATAAAAAGATTCTTGTTGGTAACTGAGAAATTCTAAGAGCTCAGAAGGAACGAATATCAGTTTTGTTATTTCTCTTTTATCCCAAGGCCCATGCTTTAAGTTTAAATAACTGCAGTTATTCATGACCCACTTATTGTGTCCTCACCCATGAATGGGGCATGTGCAAGCATAGCATTCTCTATTGGCTAGTTTCTCTCCTTCTTGGGAAGATGAAATAGGTCATAATTCCTTAGATTTCTTAAATTTTAGTGACTGCAGTCTTAAGGTAAATACATGCTAAAATTCTGAGAGCTTTTGCTCCTGTGTTTATTTCTTGAATTAAAAATGAACTGTGACCAATAAGGATTTTTTTTTTTTTTTAAAACTTGGGTGTTATTTTATTACAGGGTTGCACCCAAAATTATAGAGACAACTGGAGTTCATTTTCAGGTAAAAGTTAATTTCTCTTGACCTGTAAAACTGATTTTTACCATGTTTTACTTTGGAATTTGTGTGATTGGGAGGCAGAAGTGTGGAAAGGCTGCCCCATTCATTTGCTGTCATCTGTGCAGTGGAGGCATTCCTTGCTGTGAACTGTGTCTCAGTTGTGGCCTGCTTTAGATTTCCTGTGGCAATGAACTAAGGAAGAAATATTAGGCAAAATATTCCCTATTTAGGATAGTGCCATTTGACTAGCCATCAAACCTGTAGCTAATAAACTGCTTGACGCCTTCCTTTCAGTAATTTAATAATTAACTCAGATGTGTTTGACTTTAAAAATTCACATGAAACTTCTAACTAGTGACTAAATGATAATCATTAAAGGTTTTTTAACAGACTATGTATGAGCACTTGGGAGAACTGCTAACAGTTTTACTTACCCTGGATGAAATTATTGATAATCATATCACACTGAAAGACCACTGGACTATGTACAAAAGGTACACCAACTAAAATATTTTTAATATTTTGACTTTGTACAAGTAATGAGTCTTGGTAGAAATTAAGCAAATATAAATAATTCAGATTGTTTAAAAGACCTAAAGCTTGGGGCTGGAGAGATGGCTCAGCGGTTAAGAACACTGGCTGTTCTTGCAGAAGACCCGGGTTCGAATCCCAGCACCCACATGGCAGCTAACAACTGTCCGTAACTCCAGTTCCAGGGGATCTGGCAACCTCTTCTGACCTCCGTGGTCATTGCATGACACGGGTGCACTTACCTACATGCAGACAATACATGAATATACATAAAATAAAAATGATAAAATATTAAAAATAAAAAAGACCTAAAGCTCTGTCTTAAAGGGAGCTCATGTCCAATATTTATATTTAATTTATGTGGATGTGTGTAAGTTTGCATTTGTGTATGCACACATGGGCCAGAAGAGGGCATCAGATATCTGAAGCTGGAGTTGAAGGCAGTTGTGAGCCGTGCAATGTATGTTCTGGGAACAGAAATCTGTTCTTAGCAAGTGCAGCAATCACTGAGTCATCTTTTCCAACCCCACTATGTTCAATATATTTAAAGTGTATGTATGTATGTATGTATGTATGTATGTATTTATTTATTTAATGTGTGTGTTTGTGTGTACACACACGTGCCATGGCATGCATGTGGTGGTCAACTGGCAGAGTTGGTTCTCCTCTTCTACCATGTGGGTCCCAGGGATTGAACTCAGGTCATTAGGCTTGGTGGCAGGCACCTTTACCTTTGGAGCCATCTTGCTGGCCCCACGTCCAGTATTTTTATGAAGACAGTGCCATTTACTTTTAGATGGTTTTGTGAGAGTGATGGGGCTAAAAGTACTCTCAAAGCATTGCAAAATGTTAATGTGCCTGTCTTAGGGTGACTCAAGATTTGTTTTTTCTTTTTTTTAAATATTTTATTTTTTTATGTGTGTGAGTATATTGCCTGCATGTGTGTAGGTGCACCTGTGTCATGCAGTGCCCGTGGAGGTCAGAAGAGGGTGTTGGATCCCCAGGAACCTGGAATTGGGGATGTTTTTTAGCAGCCTTGTGGGTGCTGGGAGTAGAACCTGGGTCCTCTGCAAGAGCAGTCAGTGCTCTTAACCACTGAGCCATCTTTCCAGCTCCAAGATTTGTTTTTTCATTGGGTTCTATTCAGCTGAAAGTTTTTGTCCTGAGTGTGGTTTCATTTTATTACATGCCCTGGTTTTAAATCTTTTTAAAGTCTACCAGTGAACTAAATGTTTGGTCTGACCAGAGCCCCAGGCACCTGAATTTAAGGTGATAAGGAGAAGCATAAAAAATTGTGCTAGGATTGTTTCATAACATTTTCAAATGTGTAGAGCCAAGTAAGAATGATAAATAAAAGATTTTGATTTCTTGGGAAAAATTTTAACTTTTAAGAATATATTAAACAGATTGAGATCTTTAAATTTTCTACAAGGTTACTGAAGTCTGTCCATCACAATCCTTCAAAATTCGGGATTCAGGAAGAAAAATTAAAGCCATTTGAAAAGTTTTTGCTGAAGCTAGAAGGGCAGTTACTTGATGGAATGATATTCCAGGTAGGTAGAGCTGTGTTGGCCTATGATAGGGACGAGTATTTGTTGACCTGGCTCAGAATTATAGTGGGACACTTTTATAGAGTACCGTTGAATTTCTTTTTCTTTAGAAAGTGCTTAAAATATAGCTTAGTATCTAGTAGTAAATAAATGGAAAGTTTAGTGGTTGTACTTGAGATGAGAGTTTTTAAGTTAATTTATGTAAAAAGGTAAAACTGAGCCAAGCATGGTTGTACACGCTTGTAATCCCAGCACACAGGAGGCTTAGGCAAAAGGATCAAAAGTTCAATAAAGGCAAGTCTGGGGTACAAAAGAGAATTTTAGGCCAGCTTGAGCTATATAAGATGAAACCCTGTCTCAAAAACAAACCAAAAAAAAAAAAAAAACCCTAAGGATTTTAAGATTTAAGACCAAATATTTTGCATTAAATATTATGTTTGTTATTAGGCTCTAGATTTTGATTTCTAAAATTACTTTTGAAAAGTCCGAAGGGCTAGCCAGGATTGGTGGCACATACTTTCAATCCCAGCACTTGGGAGGCAGGAGCTGGTAGATCTTTGTGCGTTCAAGGCCAGCCTGGTCTACATAGTGAGTTCAAGGCTAACTGAGGCTACAAGGAGGCCCTGTCTCAAAAAAGACAAGTCTGAAGAGCAAGGAACGTAGTTCAGTAGTAATCATATGCAAAGTTCTTGATTCAGTCCCCAGAACTGTGAGGAAAAACAACACAACAGAAACCCTCAAACAACACAAAGGCATGTTAACTCTTCCTACACCTAGGGAATGGTTTGAATGCGCATAGTAGGATACCTTCTGAATTCAGATGATCTAAAATCAAAATAAAATATCAGTTCCTTAGTCACACTTGCTGCATAACAATCAGCATAGAAGCAGTACATTTCCGACATCACAGAAAAATCAGCACTAATTTGGGTAGTGTCTACTAGAACTGTATTATATTCTGCCTCAGGGAAAATCATATAAATGATTTTACATTATCACAATTTTAATAGATTGATCCCAGCTCTTGTTTTTAAATCTGTGTTCTAATCTATTAGATGTAGAAGACAGTTATTTTGCCTTATTCTTTTCCCAGGGGATGTTTATATATATACTGTAATATGCTATTTGCTGGGCATGGTGGTTTATGCCAGTAAGCCCAGCACTTGGGACGCTCAGGCTGCATGATCATAAGTTTGAGGACAGCTGACTTGCAGAGTAGGATCTTGCAAATAAAAAAGAGTAATGTTAAGAAAACTATTGTGGGGCTGGAGAGATGACTCAGTGGTTAAGAGCACTGACTGCTCGTGCAGAGGACCTGGGTTCAATTCCCAACACCCACATGGTGGCTAACAGCTGTCTGTAACTCCAGTTCCAGGGGATCTGATGCCTTCTTCTGACCTCCATGGGCATTGCGTGACGTGTATGCACTTACACGCATGCAGGCAGTACACTCATACACAAATAAAAATAATATTTTTAAAAAAGAAAATGGTTGTAAGCAACCTAAAATGTACTCTTTAAAAAAATGCTTCCTAGTTTATCAGCAGTAATGTCTTCTGTACAGCTCTATGCTTCACTCTGTTTTGTTTTGGTTGTTTGATACAGGGTCTCATTATGTAGCACTGGCTAGCTTGCAACTCGGCTGTGTAGCCAGGGTGGCTTTAAACTCATAGAGGCTGCCTTTGCCATGTGAGCCCTGTTTTAATTTTAAATGGTGTGTGCCACCACACCTGACTTTCTGAGTTCCACTTCATAGCACTTCATTCAGAATTGGACATTGGGTGGTGATTTATTGCCATATAACTGTCACTCAACTATGTAAGTACCTGGACATTTTTAAAAATTTTATTTTTATTTTTGATGTATTTTGCCTGCATGTATGTAAGTGTATCCATGTTGTGCAATGCTTGCAGAGTCCAGAAAGAGGCGGGCATTGGATCCCCTGAAACTGGAGTTAAGGATGGTTGTTAGCTGCCATGTGAATGCTGGGAGTTGAACCTAAACCTAAGTCCTCTGCAAGGGCAGCCAGTGCTTGTAACCACTGACACATTGTCTCTTCAGCCTGCATACATGTTTTCTTATCAAAAGAGTTTGGATATTGAAAAACTGGAAACTTAGTTTTGGTAAAATGAAAGTGGTGACTGCAGAAGTGTTTCATACTACCTAGGTCCTTATAGTGTGTCAGTATCTGAGAGTCTGAATTTCTCTTCAAATGTTTCCTACTTAGGCCTGCATAGAACAACAGTTTGATTCTCTCAATGGTGGGGTATCTGTTTCAAAAAATAGCACTTTTGCGGAAGAATTTGCACATAGTATTCGCTCAGTTTTTGCAAATGTGGAAGCCAAACTTGGTATGTAAATTTCGTGTTTGAGTTTGTTTATAGAGTTTGCATTTCCTTAAAAGCATAATTTTAACTATCATTTGTTCCGTTTTTCTCTTATGTTGTTGCTTTATCAGGTGAACCTTCTGAAATTGACCAGAGAGACAAGTATGTTGGGATTTGTGGGCTCTTTGTTCTGCACTTTCAAATTTTTAGAACTGTTGATAAAAAGTTTTACAAGTCTTTATTGGACATTTGTAAGAAGGTAAGAGTTTGAAACTTTTTATTTTTCAATTTGATTAGAGGCAAAATTTTTTTGATAAAACTAGATATTTAAAAGTGCTAGCCTAAAAAATTTAATAAAATTACCTTTTATGGAAGGTAACGTTCTGTAAAAAAAAAAAAAAAATAGGGTTGGAGAAATGGCATTGTGGATAAGTGCTTGCCATGACAGTGTGAGGATTAGAGTTCAGATCCCTAGAACTCATGTAGATGCCTTGTGGGTGTGTGTGGTGGCCCTCCTGCCTCCTGTAAGTCCATCACCTGGAACTGGGAGACAAGACCCCTGAACTAGCTGCCTAGTGACACTAGCCTGTATCAGAGAGTGCTGGGTTCATTTGAGAAACTCTGCCCTCAGTACATAGGATGGAGAACAATTGGTGAAGATGCCTGATGTCAACCTTAGGCCTTCATACACACATGTACTTGCACCTACATGTGCACCCCACACAAGTGAACAGACATTTATGCACACCACACACACATACATATGCAGAAATAAATTTAAAATGTGTTTCACTATTTATAAAAGTAGTTTGATAGTATTTTAAAATGCAAAATTCTTGAAATAAGTAATGTTATAAATGAAACTAATTCCATTTCATATGAATGTATGTATTGGTAGATGTTCTTCAGATTTTTATACTTTAACTTTTTGTTTATTTCTGAGACAAAAGTCTTATTCTGAAGCAGGCCTGCTTCAGCCTCATTGATCCTCTGCCTCAGCCTCGAGTGCTGAGTTCAGGATTGCCCCACCAGGCCCAGATTACATAGCTTTCTGCTTGTACTGCTGACACTGCCTTTCTCCACTTCTTTCTTTTGCTTTTTCCTTTTCTTTTTACCACTCATTCCCAATATTAAATAGAAAAAATTTAAAATATTGTTTTTATCTTTGGTGTTTCCATGATGTGACACTTGGTTTCAGAATTGGAAATTTGCTTTGTGTATAGTGCTCTCAAATAATAGCAGACCATGAGGCCTTAGCTATTTTACGTTTTTTCCTTCTGGTTTTTTTTTTTTTTTTTTTTTTTTTCCCCCACAAATATCAAGTGACAGTAAAGCCCTGAAAAATTCAAGTTTCAGTTTACTTAAAAAAAAAAAAAAATTAGTGTATGTGTGAGTGTATTACCTGCATGTAGGTAGATGTGCCCATGTCATGCAAAGCCAGAAGAGGTCAAAAGAGGGTGTTGGATCCCCTGGAGCTGGAGTTATGGATGGTTGTTAGCTGCCATGTGGGTGCTGGGAGTCGAACCTGGGTCCTCTGCAAGATCAGCCAGTGCTGTTATCTGCTGAGCCATCTCTCCACCCCCTCAGTTTGCTTCTTGTGTATATTATTTGTTGTAAAGTATGTATGTGGGTGTATTGATATTTAGGCAGAATAAAATTGCTATGTTCAACACCAACTATAGAAATGCTTTCCTTCTTTCCATAATAACATACTGGGGGTGTGTGCACGATATATTTACCACATAATATACTGAGTTTTTCATGGTTATTTTTTCTTGTGTTGAATTGTCTTCTGTGTTGATTATAGAACTATTAACCCCGTAGTGTTGAGCCTCTAGTCGATGATTTTTCTCTACTACCTTTATTTCAGGTGCCAGCTATTACTCTAACTGCTAATATTATTTGGTTTCCTGATAATTTTCTGATTCATAAAATACCAGCAGCTGCCAAACTTCTAGACAGAAAAAGTCTTCAAGCCATTAAAATACACAGGGATACTTTCCTGCAGCAGAAAGCTCAATCACTTACCAAGTAAGTTTTTTTTTAAAAACAACTGTAAAGAAATATTTAGATATTTTATACTGAAAGGGCTTGACTTAGAAGATCCAGTGTACTTATTAACAGAAAAGGGTTGAACAATCTCCAGATTCATTTTCTTTCCTTTTTTTTTTTTTTATAATGTTTATTTTGTGTGTACTGGGTGAATGACAGAGGACAACTTACAGAGATTGGTTTTTTTCCACCATGTGGGTTCTGTGGATCTGAGCTCTAGGCCTCATACTTGGACAGCAAGTGCTGCTTTAACCACTAAGCATCTCCCAGGCCAGATCTTTTTTCATTAATCATTTTTTTAGGCTTTACATTTATATTGGTAATGTGTTTACATATTTTAAAAGTCCCAAAAGCTGAGACTTAGAAGTAATTTTCCTTAGTCCACTTCTTCCCTGTATTTAGTCCTACTTCCAAAAATACACTTAATTTTTGTTTCTTCTGATGTTTGTTTACTTATTTTGTGGTACTGAGTATTGGACCCAGGGCCTCATGCAGTATTAGGCAAGTGCTCTTATCACTGAGCTATGCCCCAACCCTTGTTGTTATTTTTGTTTTCTGTTTTGTTTTTTGAGGCAGGGTCTTCCTGTAGCCCCAGATGGCCTGGAACCTATGTAGACCAGGCTGGCCTTGATCTCACAGAGATCTGCCTGCTTGTGCCTCTTGAGTGTTGGAATTAAAGGTATGCACCACCATGCCTGCCTCCCAGCCCTTAAAAATTTTTTTTATTGTGTAAATTGTCAGTCATGCATAAAATAGTGTTAAACATTGAAAAAGCCCTAGTGTTCCATTGATAAGCTTCAGTAGTTAATGCACTGTCCATTCTTGCTTGAGTACATGACTAAAATCACATTAACCTGGATGAAGTTTAAGTGGGGTGATACAGGATTCTGTCATTGGCCTTGTGCTATTGATATGTCTTACCACCAAACTGATGATGGGACATAATTGGGCCTGTGTTACACGAAGGAGGAGGAGACATATACTTGGGATATGGGAAATCCCCAACACGGCCTCTTAGGATTCTTTGACACCATCTTCTGACCTATGTTGGCATTGCATGACACAAGTACACTTACACACTTGCTCTTAGTCCTCTCTGCTTTGGGCCTGGTTACATAGAAGGCCTGGGTTTTCAAATGGCTCCTAAGGTTAGTTTTAGGGTCACATGAGCTAATTTGTGTAAAGTGCATAGAACAGTGGATGGCATTTATTCATTGTTAACTTTTGGGGTTTGGTTTGGTTTGGTTTTTTGAGATAGGGTCTTCCTGTAGCCCCAGCTCACCTGGAACTTGCTCTGTATACCAGGCTGGTCTTGATTTCACAGAGATCAGTCTGCCTCTGCCTCCTGAGTGCTGGAATTAAAGGTGTGCACCACCACACCCAGTCATTGCTAACTTTCAAATTCAGTTTATGGCTGCTTCCACTCTTTTTTTAAAAAAATAAAATTTATTTTATTTTGGGGCTGGAGAGATGGCTCAGTGGTTAGGAGCACTTACTGTTCTTGCAGAGGACCCAGATTTGGCTTCCAGCGCACGCATAGTGGCTAACAACCATCCATAACTCCAGTTCCAGGGGATATAGTGTCCTTTTCTGATCTCTGCGGGCATTACACAATATGCGTGTACTTACACACAGGCAGATAACACACTCATACACATAAAATTTAAAAAAAAAAAAAAGTAAAATATTTTTAAAAAATAAATAAGAATAAAAACCATTTGAGAGGCTGAGGACATAGCTCAGTAGAACCACATGACTTAGCACACTTGAGGCCTAGAGTTCAAATCTAGCACCAAGAGAAAAAAAAAATCAAACCCTTGTTTTGAAAAGTAACCCGTAATAATTTGAAAATTTCCAAGGAGTTTTTGTTACCAGCCAAACATGCCAGACACATTTCCCAAAGTTTTAGGGCTTTTCCTTAAATTCTGCTTTGTGCATACTACTCAGTAATCTGGTTTAAAGCATGCCTCAAAATTACCTATATAATGAACGTACTCTGATGATCCTATTTAAAATTACAACTCTATCCCAGCCACTATCTCTTTCCCTGCTTTTCCCCATCATATCATGTATCATCTGATGTCTTTTAATTATTATGACTTTAGTTATTGCTTTATTATACAACTCTCCTTTCTAGAATGTAAGCTTCATGGGGCCAAGGCTTTGCATCTTGTTTTGTTCTCAGTACTAGAAGCAGTGCCTGGCTTGTATGGTACTTATTGGATGAGTAACTTATATACATATATATATATATATGATCTCTTGAAAGCCAAAAAAGTGAAATTACTGCTGGAAGGAAATATTTTATTACTTTCTCTATGAAGAAATGGAGATATTATTTTCTGTGCTGAGTAACCTCAATGCTTTGCTTCAGAGATGTACAGTCTTACTATGTCTTTGTGAGCTCGTGGATGATGAAAATGGAATCTGTTTTATCTAAAGAGCAGAGAATGGATAAATTTGCTGAAGACCTCACCAATAGATGCAATGTTTTTATACAGGTAGTTGCATTTTCTTATTTAGAATATTTTGGGTGCAATTTCTTTGTTACTTTACAAAAATTACACTTGTACAGAACTGGGAAATTGTATATTTTTATATTTAAGACAAACTGATTTGCTTATGTTTGAATTTGTATGACTTATTTAGGTTTCTGTGTACCCATTCAAAGTCCTTTAAGCAGGACTTTATCTGTATCCTGTAAGTTTTGGTACGATGTATTTTCATTATCATTTGCCTCAAAATACTTTCAAAAAATCTTATTGCGACTTAGATCTTAGACATTTTTACATTAAAAAAAAAAAACTCTTTTTTTGTAGACCAGGCTGGCCTTGAACTCACAGAGATCTGCCTGCCTCTGCCTCCTGAGTGCTGGGATTAAAGGCGTGCACCACCACACCCGGCTCATCATCTTTTTTTTAAAAAAAAAAAAAACTCTGTGTGTGTGTGTGTGTGTGTGTGTGTGTGTGTGTGTGTGTGTGTGTGTTTCTATGTGTGGGTGCGAATGTGCAAGTCAGAGGATGACTTGTATGGGAGTTGATTCTTTCCACACTGTGAGTCCTGGGGATCAACTCAGGTTGTCGGGCTTAGTGGCAAGTGAAAAAATTATTTTATTTTATTTGTGTGTGTGTGTGTGTATGTGTGTGTGTTTGTATGTATGAGCATGCACATGCCACGACGTGTGTGGAGGTCAAGGACAACTTGTGGGATCTGGTTCTCTGCTTCCACCATATGGATCCCAGGGGTTGAACTTAGGCTCCCAAGCTTGGTAACAAGTGCACTTACCTGCTGAGCCACCTCGCCAGCCCCTACTTTATCTTTTTATTATTGATTTTATAGCAGTAATAAGATAATTTCACTGTTTTGAAACTGGCACAGGTCTGGCTCGTGCTCAGCTTTCCTAAGTGTTCTATGTGCACTTGAGAAGAGTGTATACTGTGCATCATCAGTTGTGTTTGGTACATGGCAAGATGGTTGTTTATGAATGAGTTGACTTCTATTCTTTTAAATTACTGAGAGTTTGGTGAGACTCCCATCATTTTTGTGGATTTGTCTATAAAGAATGCCTTTATTGTTCTGTCAGGTTTTTCTACATTTTGATACTATGTGATACTATGTACAGCCTGCTTAGAATTATCTTCCTAGTGAATTGAGCTTACTGAGAATTTCTATTTGGGAGCTGAGAATGTAGTTTAGTGCTAGATAGAGCATGCGTATACTTAGCATGTGTGAGGCCTTGAGTTTAACCCCCAGCTCCACTACTCTCTCCCCCACCAGAAAGAAAAGTATAAGTTTTTTTTTAGTAATGCTTTTTATTGGAGATCACTTGTATATGATGTTAATATAGACATACTACTTTTCTTTGAGCTAATGTCTATATAATTTATCTTTTTTGATATGATCATTATATGTGTAGCCTTTCTGACTTCTGCCTGTAAGGAACATATATTTTTCTGTAATATGGTTTGTGCGTGCATGTATGTGTATGTGCATAGACATGTGCATGTGTATATGGGGGTGTGTTCATCTCTGGGCATGTGTGGAGGCCAGAGCTTGACATTAGGTATCTTCTTCATTTACTTCTCTGGCTGCTTATTATTTCTTTCTTTTTTTTTTCTCTTGGTCTTTTTGAAACAGGGTCTCCCTGTAGCTGCAGCTGGCTTGGAACTCACTATGTAGATCAGGCTGTCCTTGAACTCAGAGAGATCAGCCTGCCTCTGCCTCTGTCTCCTGAGTGCTGGGTCTAAAGGCATGGCTACCACACCCAGCTTTTCCAGCTTATTATTTGAAGTGTCATCTCACTGAACCTGGAGCTTGTTGTCTCAGCCAGATTGGCTGACTGGCGAACCCCTTGGGAGCCACCTGGCTCTGCTCCTCAGTGCTGGGGCCACTGGCACTGGCCCACACTTGGCCTTTCACATGGGTGCTGGGGCTCTGAACTTGGGTCTCTGTACTTGCGTGGCAAGCACTTTACCCACCGAGCCATCTCCTTAGCCCCCATCTTTGTCTTTCTGTTGCATGTTGCACCATTTTTCATGTGTCATCACTGATCCATCTCATACTGCCACCGGACTACTTGATTCCTATTCGTTTACTGCTATTCTATGCCCCCTTTTTATTTTTACTCTTTAGAATTATTTTTTGTCATTTTATTTCTCTTCCTGTATTAGTTGACTAATTCTGGATTATTTTACTGTTTGTGTTCACTTTGGAGATTTTAAGATGCATCATTCATTCTTCCAATTCCAGTGTAGCTTAGCAATTTTATCCCACCTAAGGAACCCAGTCTAGCATTAGTCAAGGATAATTACCATCCGGGATCACAGCCCAGTTGTGGGTTAAGATATGATAGCTATTTTTTTTCTAGTTCACTCCTATTTTTTGGAGGTGGGGAGAGAGGGAAGAATAATCTTTTAGGTTTTTTTACTTTTTGAAAGAAAAAGGTCAGTTTTGAGACAGAGTCTCCTTGTTGCCCCAGGCAGCCTGGAACTTGCTATGTAGACTAGGCTGGCCTCGATCTTACAGAGAGCTGCTGCCTCTGCCTCCCATGTGCTGAGATTAAAGGCGTGTGCCACCATGCCTGGTTATCTTTCAGGGGTTTTTTGTTTTGTTTTTTTGGTCTTTTTGAGACAGGGTCTCCCTGAAGCCACAGATGGCCTGGATTCGCTGTGGAGACAAGACTGGCCTTGAGCTCAGAGAGATCCACCTTCTTCTGCCTCCCTGAGTGCTGGGATTAAAGGTCTATGCCACTACACCTGGCATTCTTTCAGGGTTTTAACCCAGAGCTTAGGTGGCTTATTAGTAGAATCCTGTGCTGTCTTCAAGGGCCACAAACCCGTTTCCACCCTCCTTCCCTGTGAAACATTGTCAAAAATAATGTTTTTTTCTTAACACACGCCTCCTAAGGCAGGTGTTCCAGAGAGGTTCTGGCAAGCTCCAAGTGCTCTAAGTGCTCCAAGTGCTCACTGCTCTAGGTTTCTGTCTCTGCTCAGATCTTGACCACCTGCTTCGTATTTCTTTAAAGCTCTTTGATGTTTTCCATGAGACGTTGGATGTGTTTCACCTAGCTTTTCTAATTGTTCTCAGCAGGAAAGATCACCCACATCATTTATTCTGTCATTAAAGGAAAGGGTGAATAGGATGGTATGGGACCAGGAAGTCTGTACCTCCAAGATAAAGAGGGGCTTTTCCTGCCTGCACTGATCCTCGCTGCTTCTTCCTCTGCTTTGTAGCTCTTCCCAGTGCTACACTGAGAAACAGGCTGCTGCCATAGTCCTGTAGCTGACAGGAAAGACTTGTGGCTCTTTCTGAGTATGTGCCCTGAGCTTTAATTCCTGCCACTAGGACACTGCCATCTTTGCAGCTTTTCATTTTCTTTCTTTTTTTTTTTCTCTAATGCATATATATTCATAACAAAATAACACATACTGTACAACAACAAGTGAAAAGTATACAACATGATCAAGTTTAGTTATTTTATAATTTAGGAATGGGTCAATAAATACAAATCAATAATGAGTTCTTCATTTTCTTAATTGAGCACATCTCTTCAGCACAGCTATTACTGGTTCATGGGAACTTACATGCTGGGTATTATTCCTTTAGTTAGCGATAGTTCCTACTGGGATACTACTTTCTCACAGATGATAAGACAGGAGAAAAACACTGCCAAATATTGGCATGGAATTTCTGCCCTGTGTCCTTGAATGTGTCTGTAATTGTAGTATTTAGGCTCATCTCTACATGGTACAACTTTATGAATCTTTACAAACTCAAAGAATTCTTTTTTCCGTTGTTTTCTGATTAAGAAAATAGGGAGTTTTAAATGTTCTGAGGTTTAAGTGAAAAATACATGAGGGTCTAGAGAGATCGCTCAGTGGTTAAGAGCACTGGATGCTCTTCCATAGGACCTGAGATCAGATTCCAGACTCACATTATATATAGGCAGTGGCTCACAACTGCCTATAACTCCAGGTCCAGAGGATCTGATGCCTCCTTCTGTCTTCCGTGGGCAGCCCCCCACACGGCATGCATAACACACAGATACACACATATACCTCAGTTTAGAAAATATATATGTAATGTTTCCCTGTCCCCCGTCTTCTTATCTACTCTTCACTGAGTTAGTAGCATTAAAACAATTTTGTTTTCTTATTTTGTTGTTTTTGAGACAGGGTCTTCCAGTAGCCCAGCTGGCCTGGGAACTCACTCACTGTGTAGACCAGGCTGACCTCGAACTCACAGAGATCCACCTGCCTCTGCCTCCCAAGTACTAGAATTAAAAGTGCACGCTACCATGTCCAGCAGCACTAAAAAAATGTAAACTTCAAAATACCCATGTACTTCTTTTTTAAATAGAAGGGGAGGAGAGATTCTGTTCTTACTGGGATAGATGGAGAAAAGGCCTGCTTAGTGGAGACAGAGCATAGATGGACTGTGGGGCTTGGTCTAGGCAAAGAGGAGAGGAGGGTTTGGCTTGGTGCTCAGAACTTCCTTTGTGTGTCTGTGTTGGTCAGGAAACAGTTCTTTTTCCTTGGTTGTCAGTTTCTAGCTCCTTAGTCCTCAGCTCTGCTCTCTTGCTGAATGTTAGCAAACTGAAGTCTGTTCTCTCCCTGGCAGGTAAGATTAGGATAAATGAGTGTTTCCCTGACATATACACCATTTCTCTGAAATTTTTTTTTTTTTTGCATGTGTGTCTTTTTTAAAAAAACTGGTATTCACTATAATACCAACAGTGTAAATTTCTAGTATTTGATAATCTTCAATACACATTTAAGAGCTGCTTTGAAACTCAGTGTAGAATTTCGTTAGGAAGAATATTTCTAACTCTTAAGAGTTGGTTTTAAAAGACACTTTAGAAATATTGACAAGTTGAGGAATAACTTACAGAGAAGAAAGTCTTTTATTAATTTTCAAAAAATTTATTTTAATTTTATGTGTATGAGCATATTGCCTGCATGTATGTAAATACACCCATGCATGCAATGCCTGTGAAGGCCAGAAGAGGGTGTCAGATCCTCTAGAACTGGAGTTATTGTTAGCTACCATATGGATGCTGGAAATTAAACCCAGGTCCTCTGCAAGAACAGCCAGTGCTCTTAAACATTGAGCCGTCTCTCTAGCCACAAGAATAAAGTCTTAATGGAATCTTTTCTTACTGTTTATTTTCTTTTGCAGGGCTTCTTATATGCATATAGTATTAGTACCATTATTAAAACCACAATGAATCTCTACATGTCCATGCAAAAGCCAATGACCAAAACCTCAGTTAAGGCATTATGCAGGCTCATTGAACTTCTCAAGGTAAGTCTAAATCTTACCCTGCCATCCTGATTGAGAATGACCCAAACTTAAATTAGAATGATCTTATAAGGTTTGACTTCCTGATTATATCAGAGCAAAAACTTATGAGAATGTGATCTTACCTTTGAACTGAAAGAAATTTCTTGAAAATTATTATATATATTTAATACAGGTATTTCTTTACAATAGGCTTATAACCTGATATCCTTAGAACTCAGCCTAGCTTACCTTAAATGTGCTCACATGATTACTTAGTAACGCAGTTAATACATTAGCTTGCAGTTGGGTGAAATATTCTAACTCAAAGTCTAATTTGTCATGAAGTACCGAGTGTCTCATGTAACTCATTGAATCCTCCATTGAGAGGGAAAGCTCTGGTTGTGTGGCTCTGCTTTTGCACCACTGCAAGTTGGAAGTTAGTTAATATGGTACTGTTGATTTTGTAATTTAGAGAAAGTACTGTAGTTTTGTGATTAGAATAGTAAACTAATAGAGGTAGTCAAGTGAATACATCAGCATAGTATACTTAGTGGGAGTATAAAATGTTTCTTGGCATATTCTAAAGAATGATTCTTTGTGGGCCAAAGAGCCCAGCTAATTTTATATGAAACCGAATATATAAAACTGAAATAGGCCGGGTGTGGTGGCACATGCCTTTAATCCCAGCATTCTGGAGGCAGAGGCAGGTGGATTTCTGTGAATTCTAGGCCAGCTGGGGCTACGGGGAGAACATGTCTCAAAAAGACACCCCCCCCCCCAAAAAAAAAACTGAAATAAGATTTAGATTTGCTGGTAAACATCTCCTAATAATGGGCTTTAGATTTGGATTTTTCACGTTTTTTTTTTAAACATATATTATCAAGTATCAATTACTTTTGTTTGTTTTTCTTTGAGACAGGGTTTCATTGTATAACCCAGGCTAGCCTTCTGAATATTGGGATTATAGGCCTATTTCACTATACTATTAGACTGTTAGGTTAATTAATGGGTATAATTTTTCATTATACTCATATTTTTAAACATTTTTATTGAATTTTTGCAGTTTTCATACAGTATAATTTGATGCTATTTAGAGTCACTGTACCTCCCATTATTGTGCTCCCCCCGCCCAATTTGATGTACTCTATTATATATAATAAGAACTATAAAGTCTAATTTGTGACCCCAATTGTCCTTCAGTGTGGGTCCATCCACTGGAATTTGGTTAATCTACCGAGTCCCATCCTTTTTTTTTTAAATTTTTACAAAAACTTTATTAAGAATTTCATACACGCATATAAGTTGTTTTGATCAAATCCATGCCCACTCCCCTCCAACATTCCCCCCCCGAAGAGGTAACCCTAAAATCTTTTAAGGATTAGGTACAACCTCCCAAATACTTTTGACATTTTTGGCTTTGGAACAGAGTATGTTGCTAACAGGCCCAAGGACATTTTGACTTTTAGCCAAGAAACTGGCTATATTTCTTTGGGGTCTTTTTACCCTAACTGCCTAGCCAGTTCCTACCTCCTATTCTTATCACACCATCCTCTGAAGGGGTTATCCAAATTGCCAATAGGGAATAGGGACACCGACCACTCTGGCTTCTTCCATACCATGCTGAACAGGGACACAGGGTGAGGCAGTTGGAGTACCCCTTCAGTGGGTCTATTTAAAAGGCTTCCAAGTTGCATAACTCTTATCTCAAGGAGGAAAAGAAAGTCTTTGAATCAGGAATAGGAGATGTGAAGTAAAGGTAAGAGTAACTGGCATTACAAGTTCTAGACAGGGAACTAGAAAAAAGAACAGGGCATTTTTCAAATGTTCATATGAGAGTCCATTGGAGTTTCTTGACAAGGGCTTCCAAAAGCATCCCTCTATTGGGTTCTTCCTCATTTTTCTTTTGTCTTCCAAGGCTGGACTAGTTGGCTAAAAGAGTGGCTAGAAAGAGTAGCTGGATATTCAGGTGAGGGTCCAGTGACCCTGCATGGCACTCCTTTAGTGAATGAACACAACCCTCAACAAGCCCAATTGTGACTATGTTTAGTGATCAGGCTCAGCCGAAGTTGTGATGATGGTAGTTTTTTCGTGCAGAAGGGACTGCTGTATATCATCATCTTATTAAAAGGACCACCACATGGAGGCAGGATCCGGGGGCTGTCAGGCTGTCCCATGGGTTCTCAGGCCCCCAGAATCCTGTACTCTCTGGCGGTCTGCTGAGCTCTAAGCAGCTACCCAAAGATCGAGTCCCATCCTTAGAAGAGGCTGTCTTTCCCTCCTCCAAGCAGCTGTCAGTTGCCAAAAGTTCCTTAGGCCGGGTTAGGGTTTCTTACCCATTTCCCCATGTCTGTGCTGGGATTTTGTCTGGTTTGAACTTGCATGGGACTTGTGCATGCTGTCACCATTTCTATGAGTTCATATGAGTAAATAACCAGCTGTCTGGAAAACTCTGTTTCTTGTGGTCATCCATCCCATCTGGCTCTTAAAACCTTTCTGCCCCCTCTTCTACAATGATCCCTGAGCCTTGGGAGGCAGAAGTTTGACATAGGTATCCTATTCAGGGATATACACTCTGCAGCCTATGGGGGGACATTTTCATTCAAACCACCACAAGAGATCTCCACACTGATACCCATAGTGGCTGTACCAGTTTTCACTCCCACCAAGAACGGATAAGAGTTCCCCTTTCTTGGGACTGGAGAGATGGCTCAGCAGTTAAAAACACTGGTTCTTGCAGAAGACCTGGGTTCGAATCCCAGCACTCATATGGCAGCTAACAACTATTTGTAACTCTAGTACCAGGGGTCTGATGCCCTCCTTTGGTTCCACAGGCACTGCATACATGTAGTGCACTTGCATACATGCAGACAAAACACTCATAACTGGTTTTTTCATTTTTAAAACACTTGAACAAGTTATCTTTTTTGTACTAATTCTAAGATTGGCAGAGTCTAAAAATACACTTTTCTATTTTGTCCTCCCAAATTGCACAGTTTATTTTATGGTAAAAAGTGTTCCCTCTGGAAATGTTTTTTAAAAAAGTTCTTAGGCTTCTCTTTGCCGAATAAAACTATTAAAACATAAAAAAAGAAAGCTACGCAAGTCTATTTTATAGTTAGTCTCATTTTTAAAAGAGAACAAAACAAATCCTTACTATTGTTCTTTACCACCCATCTTATTTGAAAGACTCGGAAGTCAGGCTGGAGAGATGGTTCAGTGGTTAAGAGCACTGGTTGCTCTTACAGAGGACCTGGGTTTGATTCTCAGCACACATATGGCAGCTAACAACTGTCCATAACTCCAGCCCCAGGGGATCTGACAGCCTCTTCTGACCTCCGTGGGCATTACACGACATGGGTGCACTTACTTAACATGCAGGCAATACATGAATACATATAAAAATAATAGAATTTAAAAAAAAAAAAAAAGAGTTCCCCTTTCTTTACATCCTTGCCAGCATTTATTGTTTGTTTGATTTTTTTTTTATCTTTGCTATTCTGAGTGGGGTAAAATGAAAT